AACTGAATTCTATCTAACCAAAGCACAATGCCAATTGTTCGAGGTAATGCATTATTGCCTTACCTCTTACGAATGCCAATTTCAGCAAGTGTCAAGCTATTATAAATATCCAAATGATCCAATACCACCAGTTTGTAATTCTCCCGATAATTCTTGCGATAATTGCATCAGGCGTAATGCGGATTATGTAGAAGAAAAAGATGCGCGAATGGATATTGTATATATGTTAAAGGTGGTGGAGATATTATGCAAGAATAATGATAAACAAATCATACCTTCAGACGTGATAGGGATTTTTTGTTTCTCAAAAGATAAACGGCTTCAGGATAGAAGCTTAAATTTGTCAGATCTTAATCGTGAAAAGCCGAGAGTATTAACTACAAAGCCACTAGCTGAGTTAGCTTTGGCTGATCTGGTTCGCCGTGGTCTTGTAAAACAAACCATTTGGTTAGAAAGAAGAGCTAATACGACTTACTTAACCTGCAGTTTAGTTATTGAAGGAAAGACAGAAGATGCGGATTTACTTGTAAATACGAATAGTTGGTTATATTGGAAATAATTGTATTTTAAAGATCTTGTATATTGGCGCTATTATTATTAATAATAAAAAGTATTGAATAAAAAAAAGAAAAAAAGTTGACTAGTACATTATCTGGTACGTTCGTACATACGTACCATAGAAGATTCTAGATATTTTCGATTTTCACGTGTGTTACACGAAAATAATTTACCATCGATTTCCTATGAAAAATGATCTACGTAACCTCTACCCTTTACTTTATTGATTCAATAGTTATTCGATAAAAGATGATTAACATGAACCAGTACTCGGGTTTATTTTTGTCCGAATTAACCCGATCGGAAATGTCGGAAGGTGATTTTCAAGTCAAAGATCCCATAAAATAAAATTTAGGAGTTAATTTAGGTGTTATTTATTTAACCAGTAAGTATAGCAACATGTTTTAAATTTGCTATACCGGCAAAACCTCGCGCGAAGAATCAAAACCTCGCACAAAGAATCAACCAAAGTCGCATTTTTGATGAATTTAAAGTTGTCTTTTGATATCATATAGAAATATCATTTATATTAGTGTCATTAAATGACGAGAATAAAACTACAATATGCATATCTGTTACGCAATGTTTGTCCAACGTGCAATAACTCCAGAGATTTATCAAAAGTAGAATTTATATAGTAAGCGAACCCCCTAATTTAATTAACATTAGGGATAGGACTTGTGTTAATATTGATCGATACCGTATTAATTCACACCGCTTTAGATTACCTATCCCAAATTATAAAAATTTCATGTTTTAATGTATATCTGTAATTCTAGTTTAACTATTAAGAGTTTGGTATATTCAAATTCAAATGTTTTTATTAAGAAAATTTCTAAATAGAATTAGTTTCTTTTAATATTACCATTATTTTACGTATTAAGAAAATATTATGTGACGTAGTATCGTAGACAAAAAGTCAAGAAAAAAGATGCATGTATGCACGTACAATAGTGTCATAAGATTCATTGTAGCTACTTATGATGCATGTTTAGTATAACGACACCTTAAAGCTTGCATGTATTTATTCGTTATGTAGGAATCTACTTTTAATATGATTATGAACTACTGTATCCGAAATATATGTGTGAACATTTTTGTATATCTTATAGTATATTTCAAAATTGCCTTATTGACGTTTCTTTGACTAAATGAATACATATTATTAATTCAGGGAATGATTTCTAAATTAATAATAATAAAATAATAAATGTAAAAGTTACTTTTAAATTTCTATGTCTATTTTAACGCCTTTTCATGTGATTTAACTGAATATTATAGTAATTTCTATTTTGGGTCAGAGTTGTACCACAACCTTTTTTGTATTAATTTAAGTTTAATTCGTTTTCGAATCTTAATCCTTAATAATGTTTTTATTTTCTACATTACGATAAATTGTAAAACTCATTGTTCTTGCTACATTACAAGAATACCTGTTATGAAATTGTCGTTAGGCCACTACATCTCTAGTTTTTGTTTGACTTATTTTATTTTAGAAATAAGTGTGATTGCTGAATATCGTTCCTATGATGGTGTCGGCAATAATAAAGCGAACCCTAAAGCGGGATCTTCCGGCGTACCATACTTTATTATTGAACAATTTACCCAACGATTCGATAATCCTACCACTGGAAGCATGCTGCAGTGTCCTGGCAATTATACTAGTATCTTGAGCGTAAACTGCACAAATCCATTGCAATCGGGTCAATTCCCTCTTCCAAGGTGCATTAGTAACTTGGCTAACGGTATTCACAAATCATTTGTTGATCAGAATAATATATCCTATTCTGATTCATTGAAATCCAAAAGGAAGTCGTCTCATTTGGTAATGATCATCTAGTCTCGATCATCTAGTATTGATCATCTAGTATCACGTGATTATTAAGTGACGTACTTAAACATTATCGTTATCGTTATTAGATGACTTTTTGGATTGATTTCCTGGCTTTTGATATCGTCAAAAGCGTTGAAACTGGTAGTTTATCAATTGTTTTAATGGTTAATCTTTTTGAATCATGTGAAATCTTTAAGCATTTACTAAATTTAATTAAATGTCAAGGCGAAATTTATAATAATGGTATTCTGATTCCTAATAATGATAAATTTTATCTCTCGTATGGTGTTGAGAATGCTACTTCGGTCCCAATGGTAATAGATATTAGAAAAACCTTTTTACATAATTTATATGTAATTATATTTATTAATCTTAAAATCATCACAGCCCGCATTACAATTTAATCGAACCTATTCTGCGAGCTATGGGACGGTAAATGAGGCAACATCCTTTCTTGATGGCTCTAGTATATATGGTTTAAATGAAACGAATTTGAACTTAGTATTAAGAGACCCTGTAGATCTATGTAAAATGCGTATGAATTATACAGTAGATACTGCAGATGGCAAGTTTGGTTATCTTCCTCGAGGTAATTTTTCTTTTCCGTTTATTTCCAAACAAAAAAAAAACCAACGGACTACAAATTAGTTTCCCTTAAAAAATAGGTGTGGATGGTCGTTATATAATTGGACATTTACCTAAACGTGGTGGTCACGTTTTTACGAACGTGTTTCATGTAATCTTTATTCGTGAGCATAATCGCAAGTGCGATGAGCTACGCAAAACATACGGTAATTCTTTAACCAATGACGAATATTTTCAAGAAGCCAGGAAATGGGTTATAGCACTTTTGCAAGTGGTACAATACAGAGAATATTGTAAGAGCATTTAAAATAACATTTCAAGTTCTATTATTATTATTATTATTATTATTATTTATATATCAATTAATTTACATGCGTGCAAAGTGCCAATCATAATGGGAACAACATTGCCAACATATACAACATATAACCCTACACTTACGCCTGGATTAGACTACTTTTTTGTAACATCTACTTTCAGATATGGGCATTCTGAAGCCAGGTATTATAAATTGGTATTTCTTTTTCTCAAAACATGATGCAGTGTTACGATCATTATTCTTTTCCAAAAAAAAAAAAAAAACAAAAAAAAAAGTGACAGCTATCAAATAATGAATCAAAATGGTGAACCTGAAGCTGTCCTGTCGCTAAGAAATTTACAGTTGCCCGACCTCTTAGAAATTTATGGTGTGCCGACAGTTATTATCTCTTTGTCATTACAAAGGTACGAGACAACATTTGGCTGTAGAATTTATGCTAATTACTATATTTAACCTTAATGATATTTGTAGACAAGAAGAATTAGACATATTCTATTCAGATTTTATGCGAGCACATATTGTCTCGGGAAATCTTACTGATCTTGCAAGGTATTACGACTTTTTTATATTCTTGTTTTAAGGATTTTGTTATGATTCATATCTTATGTAAATTCAATAGCATCGATCATCTCCGTTCACGTGACCGTGGCATACCAATGTATAACGATGTTAGGGTATAGTAAATCAAGATACTTATTTCTAAGAAGATAAATTAAGCTATATACATATATATATATATTTGACCTATTTTTTTCGAACAAAAAAGGCGGCATTAGGTTTAGCAAGAGCGAATACTTGGTCTGACATTACAACGAATGTTCTTGTCCAAAAACGTTTGCAATCTTTATACACAAGCATTGATCTAGTTGAAGCATTTGTTGGAGCTCTTGCGGAAGATCATCTTCAAGGATCAAATTTCGGTCAACTATTTCAAACAAGCATGACCCGTCAGGTTAGTTATTAAATATTTTTTATGCTTATTATTGATTCCGGGAATTGACATTTTGAGTGGATTGTAAAATATTATCTGTCGCGATGGATTCTATGAATTAGTGGTCTTTGATACGTGATTCTGATCGATTTTGGTATGAATCTCCAGATGCCGGTTTTACTAGCGCTGAAATTGATATCCTCCACAACACTACATTACATGATATAATCCTTCGAAACACACCCGCTGGTACTTCCCTTCCACAAAACCTTTGGTTTGTTCAGCCAAGACCCGATTTAAATATCAACAATGTTACTGATGATCAATATGATGGATATTCACCTTTGAATGTGTTACTGTTATCTAACGTATATAAAATTAAATGGAAGGTTGTTAATGAAGATATTTACTTAAAAATGACAATGTTGAGTGATAATACGTGGTTTGGAATCGGTTTTAACTCGGTAGATGGTGGGATGATTGGTACCGATTTTTTAATCGTTAACACCATTGACTCGTCCAGCGTAAGCGCTGGTAATTATCATTCTGATGGATATCGTCCTCCGATAAAAGATGATAATCAATTTGTGAAAGTGATCAGTTATAATATTTCGAAAGGGCTCACCCAGGTTGAAGTTATGAGGCCATTAAAGGCTCCTGGCAAGTTACCAATAGAAAATCAGATGACAAAAGGTAAATTATTTATTAATCATTTATTTATTTGTGCATATAAATAATGACTTTAATATTTTATTTTAGTGATTTATGCTTGGAATCCGGTAAATGTAGTTAAATCTTTCATGTCATACGGTTTTAAGAGTTAATGAGTTTAACTTTTTATCCTAAAGTCTTCAAGTTATCTAAGTTATCATGGCGGAAACAGAAATAAAATTTTAATTAATTTCTTCGACACTGGAGCTGGATCTTCATCATCGATTATTGGAAGTAGCATATTTCTTACACGGTTGGCACACGGTATTTCAATGTTTTTAACTTGGAGGTACAATATAACTTCTATATGTTACCGGTTACAGGCTAAAATCCCGACAAACAGGTTCATAATCCAGACAAGCCTAGCCCGCATTAACCATAGTCCCGGTCAATTTTTGTCGGGGTTTGTTTGTCAGCATTCTGTTAGAATTTTAGCCTGTAACCATCTATGTTGTTTCTTAATGTTATATTGTTTCAATATGTTACTATTAATGTTTAATTCGTTTTTAGTGTTTTATTTCCAATCAGTATTTTTATTGTAAGATATTTGAAACATAGCGATAATCACATGAAACAGGTAAATATATATATATATATACATGTTGGCAAAATCCCAAACTATTATAGTTTGGGATTGGGCGTCCCAAATCCCAAACTCTGGCCAAACTCA